ACAAGTGGCCTTCAATAAACTTGACCCAACTGAATACTGTCTTATTCTCTCCCCGGTGACAAGCCATTCCTTTGAAAACTGCCCTTGCTTCAGGCCACTAGGGCCCTATTTAAGACTCTGTGTATGTTAGCATTTCAGCTAAGTGAATGTCAAATACTGATTGTAATAATTGTCTAGTAGTGTTTTAATTAGGCCTCCGGTCTGGCTTAGTACGGCTGTCCATTTTCTCTCCTAAGACAACTAGATGGATCCAGTCAAAGGAGCCCTGATGCCCTCACCAGCACCAGAAAGCAAGGGTGTCCCCAATCCCTTGCTAGCACTTTCCAGGAAGTGGGATACAAACAGGCCTGGTCTCTACCTCAATGCACCCACTGTTCCTATCGGTGAATTCCGCTGTGAGCTAGGGGAATGCGGTTTCTTTCTAAGGACAGTATATTATTACCTAGGCAAATTCCCCACCCTCCACTCCAAGCCTGGCCATCCTGCCCTCATCTCCTCCCTTCTCCCGTCCTTTCATTCATTTACTGCCTTTTTCTTCTCGTTGCCTCTCCAACCAGCGAGTAAATAGTCGATGATCCTCCATTCTTCTCCTCGTTCCTCTCTGCTGCCTCCTGTCCCTCTTTTCCTTCCAAATTTCTAAGTGCCTTTTCTCTCTCTCCCCTCCCCTTTGCTCCCAGCTGATTTCCCATTAATCACTCCTAGCATGCATCTGCTTGGGTCCTAGAAGGATTCCTTGGCTGGCTCTCACAGCTGGGCTGGTTACCATACTCAAGGAGTCTTTCATCTTTCACTGCCTCCTAGGTCTCCCCTCTTCCCAGCTCTTCTTCCTCCACGGTGCCTGCAAAGGCCTGTCCTCTCCCATTCTGAAAAACTTCCTTCTGTTCTCTCTCTCCTCCCCTCCCCCATCTCAGTCTCCCAGAGGCCACATGGCCCTGCAGGTTGAAGCAGCCCTCCAGTGGAACTTTAAATGTAGTGTTGATGTCAAAATGCACGGAGGCTGGCAGAGAAGAGGCTAGGGCCAGGGGGATAGAGACCACCACAATAAATGGGATCAGCACCCCCCCCCCTTCTTGTATCCCCCTTGCTGCAATACGGAAGACATCTCCCAGTCGAGGCATCCCTTGGAATTCCTTCTTACCTGATTTTACCAGGATTTAACCGGGGTAGGGAAAGCCAATGGAATTTCTAAGAGGTCTATACATACTGGCCCCAAAACAGCACAGATCCAGGAGTACGTTTAATTTAGCGTTGACTGAAATGGTCTGGGAACGGTGCCTGCTGCCTTCTTCAACTGAGCAGGACAAAGGTTCTTGATTGCTATTTTTTATTTCTGCGATAGTTCTTTCTTTCTCTTTGAAGAACCCTTTTGAAATCACCTATCTTGGGTTCTGGGGTTGTCTCAACGCGGCAGAGTCAGGGACAGTTAGTCCTGGAGCAATATGCCCCGAGGGACAGGCCTGCCATCAGAGTGACGGATTGGGGCTGGGAAAGTGGTCCGCGGGCGAGGCAGCGACACCAGCGCGCGCCCCCTGGCCGCCGGGGGCGCGGAGACGCGGTCTCCCCGGGGCCGCGCGGAGGCCCAGCTTCACCTGCCGGGATCCGCGGGCCGGAACTTCCACGTCGGACTATGACTCGGTAAAATCTCTGCCAAGTGCGAGGCTGGCCGCGCACGCTCCGCCCGAAAGACGCAGGGGAGGGGAGAGGAGCGCACTGTCGTTTTCAATACAAAGTTTTTATTCCGAAATTCCCCCGAGGAAAGGTGGTGCATTTTCTGCCGCGAGAAGAACAGGATGGGAGGCGGGGGGGGGGCGCGCCTCTCTGGAGTTTGTGTCGACGAGCAGAACTTACAGACATTCCCACCTCTTCTGGGATCTGGCCTCTCGCGTACTCCCAGGTCC